ACTGACCGCCTTGGTCCTTGGGGGCTGGGGAGTGGCTGGTCACCTCCAGCCTAGTGTCCTCTTCCCTTCCTGCAGTGAGGGGAAGTGTTACCGTTCTTTGCATGTGCTGTGATACAGGAAAGCTGCACGCAGTATCCCATGGCCACCCACTTCGGGGGCAGAAGAGCATCCGCTTAAGGGTTAAAGGCCAAAGGCTGCAAAGAATGGGACTGTGCTAGGGAGAATCCCAAACCCACCAACCTTCCCTTCAGCTGTGGCTGGGAGCACAGCTAGACAGCAGAGCCCCAAGGGAGACAGAAATTCTGTGGCTGAAGAATGTTCCCCAAGCGTGGTGCTTGGGGAACACCAAGGTGGAAGGCAGGCCCAGTTAATGAAAATTGAAGCAGGCCAGTAGATAACTGAACCCCCACTCTGCCCCATCCTCCTCTGGGCTGACAGAATTAATACTCCGGGGTCCCAGCCGGCACTGGGGTAACACTCCACAGCTGACCTGGGGGTCACACCCGTGGCCCCGGCTGACACTGGAGTAATGCTCTATAGCCCCAGCTGATCCTAGGGTAACACTACATGGCCTCAACTGATGTGAGAGTAACATCCCACAGCCCTGGTTGGCACTGGGGTAGCACTCCACAGCCCCGGATGAAGCTGGGGTAACACCCCGTGGCCCTGGTTGACGCTGGGGTAACACTCCACAGCCCTGGATGAAGCTGGGGTAGCACTCCATGGCCCTGGTTGACACTGGGGTAGCACTCCATGGCCCTGGTTGATGCTGGCGTAATACTCCATGGCTCTGGCTGACGCTGGAGTAACACTCCACAGCAGTGGCTGACTCTGTTGGTTGATCCCCAGTAGCCATGCCCAGTCTTCCTTCCTACCAAAGCCTCAATTCTGATCCAGTGGCAATATGCCCAGCCTCAGGGGATAAGTCAAGATCAGCCAAAGCCTGCTACGGCAATCGCATTACCCTTGCCAGTGACAGGGTGATGGTGACCCTGTGACCTAGCTCTGGCTAGTGGCTATTAAGGAAGTCTGCTGAAAGGTGGGAAAGTTTCCCCCTGAACTGAAATTAAAGAGACAACCTCTCAAGAAGACCGCTCTTTTCCCTGCCCTCTTTCCTTCTACCCAGGCTACTCTAGGATACAGACATAGGTTCCCAGCGGCAGCAGCCACCTTGAGATCAAGAGAATGGCAGACACTGAGTGGGACTCAGCTGTGGCCACGTCACTGATAAACCCTGGATGCGCTGACCGTCTTCCAGGCTTCTCTAGAAATGTAAGGTAAGTAACGACACTTGGGTATTCTGTTACCTGCCGTCAAAAGCATATTTACCATCCTGTACTGTTCCTGTATGTTACCATATTTGCTCATAACCACATAGGAGTTGTGACCACAATATTACAGGAGAGGAAGTGGACGAGGTGGGATGACAGAGCTGGTAAATGGTGGGACCAGGCCTCAAACTCTCCTCTGCTGATGGAAAACTTCAGGCATCATCTGCTCTGCTCTGTGTAAATTCATTCAGCTTACAGATGCCCCAGCCTCAGGGGCCATGCTTCCAATCTTCAAAGCCAATGTGGGAAAGTCCAATCCAAAATGACAAAATATGTCTTTGAAAGGAATACCCCAACCCTTGGCTTATTCTAAACATGCTGCTATTCTTATAAAGCTCTCCCAAACTGCAGCAAGAAAGAAAAAAAAAGAAGACAAGAAAAAAGTGGAGAGAGAAAGTGAGCATGCCAGGAAGTCATTGAAAGGAAACTTTTTTTTTTTTTTTTGGGCAGGGGGTGGGGAGCCAGGAAATGTCAAGGAAACAAATGTAGCTATGATTTACACTGCATCTCCAGTTGTGCCATGGGATTCAAAAATAGGCATCTTAATTAAAACTGACAGCAGAGAGCAGCCTGACAAGTAGAAAAACTGCTAAGGAGGCTGAAAAATCTCCATTTGACTCTGGGTTGACAGTATTTAACCAATATCTAGAGTTGGTAAGACAGAAGGAAAACTGCGTGAATCTTACCCGAGTCTCTAGGCTTTTCTTGTTTTCAGACTGATTGGTCTGGACAATGGAAGGCCAACAGCCAACAATAAATCCATTGTAAGCTGGCGTGGTCTCCTCTGATATAACTAAATATTTCTTTAATCCTTGCATTACATTTTTTACTGTATTATGGAGGCCATGTATTCTAAAGTTTTAAGCTTTTACGACATTGTAACTATAGGTATAAGATGGGGGGATTGATTACTTAGGCAACCTATTTCAAGCACTATAAGAGGCAAGTATTAGAATTTTTTGCATTAGAATTTTTCAGATCGTACTGCAGATATTCTCGTTCATGGCTCTTACTCAGAAATCTTGTTTATCTCCTCCTTTTGTGCCGTGGGAAGGGTCTTTAATGATCACCAGTTGACATGAATATTCCTTTTTTGTAGCTTCTGTATCTTCATTATCAGGCATATCAGCCAGTCCAGAAAAACTTACTTCACAGTTCTGTTCCCAAGGGAACAAAGAGAGTGGGTCCCATATTAACAGTGGCTTTTGTTGGCTTTTTTTCCCCCTGACATTAAAGCCATGTATGGTTGGCAAGGATGTCTTTTCTTTAATTTGGACATGGTTTCTGCCTCTGGTTCTCTGAAAGCAAGTTTGTTGGTAGGACAAACTGCCTGCACACTCACATACGTAACTACTTCAGCACTGGCTTAAAAGAGGCTTCACTGAGAACAAATCAGAACTGTGAAACAGCTTCAAGTAGAAATGTTCTTTCCTTACAAGATTTTCAGTTCAATACTTATTTGGCCTTCATATCTAATGGCTTGAAAAAGTATCTATACATCTAATTACAGTCAATTACTGACTCCCCATATATGCCTCCCACAGCGCTCTCCTCCCAGCCAGGGAACTCACTGTCACCAGCCAGGCTGTGTACATTTCCTATCCAGTGAAACTTTCAAGAATAGCTAACAGAAATAGACTGGTACTCTGAAGAGAGAAGCTGTCTCACAGTGGGCACCCAAACAACCAGAAGTTAAACCCCAACTGTATTCATACTGCACCATCTCCGACTCTCCACGGTGGGAAAACCTGGCCAGTTTACACTCCAAGCACAGCACGCACCTCAGATACCGAGCTCCGATTAGTGAGTAGTACTATGTGTGAATGGCATAGCAAATTCTCCAGAATCCAGGATTCCCTGGATTCTAAATTTTTCTTTTGCCTTTCTAATCAAGAAGAGAGAGAGAGAAAGAACACCGCTCTGTCCAGTAACTCATTGTTCAAGCACTGTAGTTCACCCAGGTAAAATTCAGTGCCATGGGGTGGGAGAGGAAACCTGGGAGGGCAACTGCACAATCTCTCCCCGATAAAGTTCAGGACTTAAGAATCAACACTTCCCAGCAGTGGCTGCCTGTGCAGGATGCCCCTCCCTCCTGAAATAGACACAATTTGTAGTTCCTTGTAAAATGCTTGTACTAGGATTTCTGAGTTACTCAATCAGGGCTTTCGGTTCATTTTTATCAAATAAGAGAGGCCCCCTATGAGAAAGAGCAGCCACAAATGTATCATTAACAGGTAGAAACTTTACTGGCCCTCTATAAATCAATTCAACATCCCCCTGGTCTCCAGGGATTTGCCAAAAGATAATGGGCAGTAATTACGAAACCATCGCAAGGAGTTGCCAGCAGGGCTCAGAGACAGTTCTGAAGTCTACGGACCCTTTCAAGGGGAAAATAGGAAAGCATTTAATGAAGCAGCAATTTTACCCAGAACCCGGCTAGAAGGGCTGTAATACAAGCTTCAGTTAAAGTAACTAAGAAACAGGTGGGGTGAACAAGAGGCGTGGTACACGGTCATCTTCTCCTACTTTCCTTGAGTCCAAAGGAACGCAACATTGGAAACACAGCTGGATACATTAATAAAGATCCCAGCTGAGCAGAGTCCAGGGAATTGAGGGTGAACAGGCCTGCAGCTCTCCCTCTCCCCAACCTTGAAACACGGCTTCTTTTTACACAGCAATTAAGGATGCCCCCTTGGGGCCCCCCATCTGGGGCGGCCATCTATCCCAGGAGGAGGAGGAAGGCTCCAGCAGAGGCTCTGGCCAGCCCACCAGGCCTGTCCCAGTTCTGTGGGGAGGGGAACTACCGCACAAAAGGTGGAGGCTTTGGCTAACATGTTGGGTGAGGGCTTTGAGGACCCAAATGGGGCCCTTACTTTCACGACACACAGCAGCAATCTTATCCCTTAGAAGTGTCACAGAGCCTCCTATGAGCTTTCAAGTAAGCTGTGGAAGTCACGATTCCCATTTATGGGATGGGAAACTCAGGATGTCCTGCGAGCCCACACCCCAGATGGCACCATCTGAAACCAGAATCCAGATCCTCTACCCCCGATTTCTTCTCCTTCACCTCACCCTACCAAGTCATGTGGGCGCCCCCCACCCCCATCCCCCAGGCCTCAGTGCACAGGTGACGGCTCAACCTTGGGGCCTGAGCGGCTGGAGACACACCCGGGCACCGCGAGGCCCAGCCCTCGGGCCTGTGCGAGGCTTCCCTCCACCGTGACAGCCACCTCACCAGGTGACCAGCGTTAGTTGGGAACAGTAGCTGCTACTGGTGACAGTCACCGCACACCTCGCACAAGCCTCATCTTTATCCTGGCCGCTGGCCGCCGACGGAAAGCAACGGGTCCGAGAGCACACCCTAGGGTCAGAGACTGACCCTAGGTCTGTTACTCCAAAGTCACTGGTCTCTCCTTTCTCTTTCCTGCGGCCGACTGCCTGGCACGGGACTCCGAGGCGGGAACGGAGACCGCAGAATCCCTTGGGGCCGGCACCCCCAGCCTCCGCCTTGGCGCAGACGCGCCCGTCTCTGGGACGACCCAGAGCGCACGCGGCCGGCGGGCGACCCTCCTCCTAGAGACCCGCACGCTGCCCCTGGCTCCCAGCGCACGGCCACCCCAGCCCGACACGACCCCGGAGTCCGCCCCCGCTACGCGGCCCGGCGCTCACCTCTCGCAGCAGACGCTCCAGGTGCGGCTCGGCCCGGGCGGCCCCAGGGTCGGGCGGCCCCGCGCGCCGCAGAAGCTCCCGCTCCTCCTCGAGCGCCGCCACCCGGCCCTGCAGCGCGGCCGCCTGGACGCCCAGCAGCAGGCAGGCGGCCGCCGAGCCCATGGAGAGCAGCAGGCACAGCGCGCTCACCGCCCGCGACCCGGCCGTCGTCGCCGGGCGGCCCCCGCCGCCGCCGCCGCCGCCGCCGCCGCCGCCCGCCGCGTTGCCCTTCCCCGCGTCGCCGCCGCCACCGGCGCTCTCGCCTGGGCCCATGGCGCGTTCGTCGCGCGTGGGCTCCCCGAAGGGACGATGCCGAGCTGGGGCTGCGGCTGAGCGCGCGAGGAACAGGCGAGACAGCCCGAGGCGCGAGGTCCGCCGGGCGCGGGGCTTCGCCTGCGGGTAGCCGCGTATTGCAGCGCACGCCCCCTTCCCCGCCGCCACCTCCTCCGCAGCGGCCACTTTGGGCAGTTTCCTCTATGCAAATAGACCCTGCCAGAAAAGGAGCCGGGACCCACCCAGGGGAGGAGCGGCCGGGCTGGCCCCGCGCGGCGAGGGGGCGGGGGCGAGGAGGGAACTCACTCCCGGGAGCCACCGGCCCGCGCCAGGCTGATCCCACGCGCAGCGCGCACCTCCGCCCTCGCCCGCCCGGGGCGCCGGCGCCCGCCCCCGCGCCCGCACCTCTGCGGCTGCCCCAGCCCAGGTCAGCGCTGAGGACCCCAGAGGTCGGAGGGGCGCCCGGCGACCCCTCGCGCCGTCTACAGCCCACCCCTGCCTGGAGCACTCACCGCTCGTGCCTTAGGGACATTCCACTAAACTTGGGAATTAACCTTTCTGACACTTGTAAAAAGTTCAAAACTTCAAATCCTGTGGAAAACTTGGTGGGTCTGTCGTAGGTGGTGGATTAGCGCCGCACCGTGGCGGAAAGCGACCTCTGCGCACTCACGCTGGGAAACGCAGGGTGAGATGAAGCCAAGTGGAAACAGGCCTCTTAGAATCACCTCTCACGAGTTCTTTTGTGCCAGACATCGGTGCGGGAAACAAAAATGGTAAGACTCTGTTTCTGGCCTAGAGAGGGCTTTTGAGACGACTGATACTATAACGAATGGCAAAGATTCAGAAAGTGAATTCCAAGTCTTGTTGAACTGATGACTTAATTCTGTATTAGAGACACAATTTGGCCAAAAATGATGATCTAGTATGCACCACATTTAACCTGTACTGCGATTCTGCCGCAAATTTAAATCACAGGGCTGAGGCAAGAAGGCTCTGGCGTACAGCCTGGGTCCACAGAACAGAATGAGTGGCACCGACAAGTCTTGGCAGGAAAGCGAGGAACTGCTGGAAGTCAGGCTGTGTTCAGATTCCTACCAGGCATATTCATGTCCTAAATGGGTCCCAGGTAACACTTCCGCTAACTCCTGTAATTTCTAAATAAAAACAACAAACCAGTAGCTCAGATCTTTGTGATTTGAGTAACCCCACAACCATTTTGTTGGTTTTTTTAAGAAAAATACATTATATCTTCCCTCTCACTCTCTGGATATCTTCGGGTTGTCTAATTTATGTGGATACCCACCTTTTAGAACTGTTGAGTGCCTCTGGCTAACGTGTTCCTTCTCCTCCCCTTAATTGAGAGGGGAACCCCTGAGATGGCTAGATAGCTGGGGGCTATGGTTATACAGAGATAGCCTTGGCTCTGTGCTAAAGTCTAGTGTATGCCCAATAGAATGAGAAGTACATGTGCTAAGCAAACTTGACAGTCTATTCTGAAAAGAGGCCAACACCCTCTTACAAGTAAGCACTGCTTTTTTTTTTTTTTTTTTTTTTGAGATGAAGTCTCACTCTGTCGCCCAGGCTGGAGTGCAATGGCACGATCTCGGCTATTGCAACCTCTGCCTCCTGGGTTCAAGCGATTCTCCTGCCTCAGCCTCCTGAGTAAATGGGATTACAGGCATGTGCCACTGTGCCCAGCTAATTTTTATATATTTAGTAGAGGTGGGGTTTCACCATTTTGGCCAGGCTGGTCTTGAACTCCTGACCTCGTGATCTGCCCACATTGGCCTCCCAAAATGCTGAGATTACAGGCATGAGCTACGGTGCCCAGCCGAGCACCACATTCTCACACATAGGTTAACGGCACACCACCTACTTATGTTAATGTTACTGCATGTATTGTTCACCATGGTCGCTCCTGTGTATTGAAAAAGCCAAGCTCACTGGCCGCCTGGGCCTCTGCATTCCTCACTACCTGCGTTCCTGCTCTCAGATCTTTGCACAGCAAGCCCCTCTCCATCCTCCTGGTCACGGTCCCCAACCTCGCTGCTTCTAAAAGACCTTCCCAGACTGCCCAATTTAAAGTGGCCAGATCCCCAGTCCCCTCAGGATTAATCAGGGAATTGGGGCAGCTGAATGAAGATGGAAATGCTGTCTACAACTCATTCTAAAAGACAAAAAAGAAAATAACGTGTCCATTAGGGTCCTGGAAGAATAGATGGCATCCTCAGAGAGGGTGACTCAAGACAGCCTGAATGTAGAGCCATTTCACAAAGTAGAGGCCACAGGGGCTCAACAGGGGAGGCCAAAGCAGCACTTTGGGGGTATTAACAGTGGGAGGCCATTACCATCCGTAACTATGAACCCTGGGGAACTTGGAGCTGTAGAAGAGGGCTGCTCCACAGCAGCTGTGGCCTTTGGTTAAGGGGCACCGCCTCTGCAAAGCCATGGCTTGGAAGGGAGTGGGCTCACAGGATAAATACTCAACCACTCTCTCCTGCTCTTTGATCTACTGGGGACTTCCAATGACCAAACCTCCAGAGCAAGAGGCCAGCTTCCTAAAGGGCAGAGAGCAGAGGCAGAAGGCTGGAGGGCAGATCTTGAGGGGGAAAAAAAAAAGAGTATCTACTAACCTATCATGTATAGCAGCACCACCTAACAGGTAGACAGCACTTAGATCAGTCCTGCTACTGCTGCCTATGAATGGCTAACTTGTCAGCAACAGACTAAACAAGGTACTCAGGGAGACCAACGGGCCACCTGGTGGCAAACCAACCACTTTGGATTCCCTTCCTCCTGGAAGGGCCAGTGGTTCGTCCCTCACAGGGATAACACCAGGCGTGGGCTTGTCTTTCCTGCCTGCAGAGTCTCAGCCAGCATCACCATCCTTACGGAATGCCCAACCCACAGGTACAGGATCTCACACATGACCACACCCAACCAGGGCACCCACTTTACAGTAAATGTGGGGGGGTGGGTAAGCCCATGGACCAAGGAATCCACTGGTCGTGTTACACCCTGCACTGGTCAGGAGCAACCAACCACACAGGATACTGGAACTGCCTTCTGAAGGCACAGACGAAGCACTAGCTCAGAGGCCATTCCCTGAAGGACACAGTGCCATCTCTCAGGATTTAGTGTATGCATTAAATCAGGAACCTCTCTGTGATGCTGTGTTCCCAGTAAGAATACTTGGGAAACCCGGGATAGAATACTCCAGGAACCCAGGGGTAGAACACTAGCCATCCCTCCCTATGACCTCATGGGGTGTTTGTGCTTGCTATTCCAACCAGGTTCAAGACGGTTGGAGGGCCAAGTTCTCAAAGGGTTTACATTCTTGCCAGGAGACACAGTAGGGGTTCCATTAAACTACAAGCTATGGCTGCCACCCAGGGCACTTTGAACTCTGTATATAGGTATCTGAAATCAAGAAGACACCATTTGGCAGAGGCAATTGACCCTAATGAGGCGAAAGAGGTAGGGCTGCTTTTATCCAATGCAGGCAGGAAAGAATAGGCTGGGTGCCTCATGATACTCCTTCGCCCCATTGCAACTGGAACAAAAACGTGTAACAACCCTGGCCTGATGATCGACAAATGCTCAGACTCTTGGAGATAAAAGGATCATAACAAAATATTTTCTAAAATAGGGATTATTTGGGTCAGATGGGGTTGACAACCACTGAAGAGGTAATGTTAATAATGAAAAGGTTCAAATATGTTCAAACTGCTGTTCAAGAAGGCATGGCTATGTAATCCAGTTTATAAAAACTTTCAGCAGAAAATTGTTTAAATTAAGCCACAAGGTTTAAAGGAATAGCAAAGGGTTTTTTTGTTTGTTTGTTTTTAAAGGCAATATAATTTTTAAATGATTTTTTTTAAAAGGCAATGTTAAAAAAGGCACCAGGTGTTGATTCAATGCCTAGATTCTAGTTCTGGCTTGCTATAGACCCTCACTTTTTATTTAACTTCTTTTTTTAGACATGGGGGTCTCACTATATTGCCCAGGCTGGTCTTGAACTCCTGGAGTCAAGCAATCCTTCTGCCTTGGCCTCCCAAATGCTGGGATTACAAGTGTGAGCCACCATGCCTGGCCACCTTTTAGTTTTTAAGACAGATATTGACATGGACCAGATTTACTATCCTACTATTTGAAACAAAGAAAAAGCCAAGAAAACTGTATAAACATCAGTTTTTGAGACACGAGACATCAGGAAACAGATCAGTGATTCTTGGGAGATGGGAGACCAAAGTGAATCCAAGGATTGCCGTAGGTTCCTACTCTGGAGAGATTTTCCAGGACACAATGCAGGTAGAGCCAGCTGAAGGTAACGAGAGACAGCTGAGTCCAGGGAGGCCAAAGCAGTTAGAATTTGCTGAGAGGGAGAGCTGCACAGAGAACAAGAGATCTGCAACTAGTCCCTCTGAAGCCTTCACCTGATGAATCATCAACATGCTTGTATGAGGAACCAACCTGAGGCCAGGACAGAATAACCCAAAAGGATCAGACTCTAATAATTGGCAAATACAAACCCCACAGCCCACACAAAGCCAGACATAGTTCTTCCTACCAACCAGTGTGGAAAATCTGATAACTCAGAGAACACTGGGTACTCAGAAGGCTTTCGCCTCAGTAGTGGGGAAGTAACTAGCCATAGACTAAATGCTGCCCTGGTCCTGTCTAACAAAGCTTAAAACCCAAACCCGAAGAGCTCAAACTGATTCAAATACTTAATCATGTCCCACAATAAAGCATACAGAATTTTACCCAATAAGGTAAAAGGTAAAATTACCAGGCATGCAAAGCAGCAAGAAAATATGACCCATAATAGAAGAAAATGCAATCAATCAAAACCAACCCAGAAATGACAGAGATAACAGAATTAGTAGGAAGCAAAGCTATTAAAAGCTCTAACTATTCCGTATGTTCACAGAACTAGAGGGAAGATTTCACATGTTAAGTAGAGACATAAAAGATGTCTTTTAAAAAGACTTAAAAATTTCTAGAGATTAAAATGGTTTGAGGTGAAAAATACATTGGATGACATTAAAGGCAAATTAGACACTGGAGCAAAAGATTAATGAACTTAAAAAAATATCAATATAAACAAAATGAAACAGTGAGAAAAAGACTGAAAAAAATGAAAAGTATCAGTGATCTGTGCAATCACTTCATGTGGCCTAACGTATTGCTAGAGTCCCTAGGGAAGAGGGCAGAAAAAAAAAATTTAAATAATGCCTCAAAAAGTTTTCCAAATTTGGTAAGAACTATAAACCCACACACAGACCCAGTGATTTCAAGAAACCCATGCACAAGAAACATGAAGACAACCACACAAGCCAAATTATAAGCAAAATGC